GAGTGACATATCACGTTTATGATATAACTTCAGGGAAATATGTAGCGCTGATGTCACTCTGTGGGTGACTTTGACCTTTTTTATTAAAAGGTTTGCTCTTATGAGGACATGCCACTTGTATAAGTGCTTATAAATTAAAATATTTTTTATTGTATTGTATATGTACATTTAAATTGTGTATCTGATGTCTTTTTTGTCTCTTTTGCCTCTCCATAAATAGTTCAGCAGTGGGCAGGTTTGACAGGATTCTCGTAGCTTTGTAGAGTGGCAAGCAGGAAATGTTTGTACAAATCAGGGTGGTGGAAGATCGTTAATTGTTTTCTCATTCAGTGCAACTATCAAAAATAGCTTCAGTTTCAAATATGGGACTGGAGTTTTCATTAGATAAGCATGCAGTTAATAAAAATAGCCTATATCAGAAACATTGCTTATAAAACTATGGTACAAATACTCAGTACATAAAGTCAACACGGTGTTGTTTTATTATTAAATGCCATGATGACTCTCAGAATTGCTGAAAGAGTCTGCACCTAAAGATATAGATATATTTGCTTGTTTTGTATAGATGTGGTCTGAGAGGTCAGAGAGCACCCTCTGTTTTGATGTGTCAAACTGGCTGAGTAAGTTTCTGTACGAGTGTTAACCTCAAACGTGGCTGTCGTGTTTGTGTAAACATTTCTAAAGGTGTTGAGGATGTTTATGAACATTTTACACTCTGGTTTGAGTGTAAAGAGCCATGCAGGCCGTCTGGTATAATTTTGGCAATCATGTATGTGGGTGTGTAGAATGGCGTAAAACTGTGTGGTGACTTGTTGGCAGGAAACCACAGTATAAAAATAACATATGTACGAACCTTGCTAGTAAAGCCATCATTGTAAAATAAAATATGTAATTTACAGGAATAGCTGAGAAATTCTGTTTAGTTGTTCACCCTCATGTTGTTTCAAACCCAAAGAATTAATTTTTTCTATGGAACACAAAAGGAGAATGTTGAGGAATCTTCATACAGCTCTTTTTTCATACATGGACAGTGGAAAAAAGGGGGGAAAAGCACCATGGACTACTATAAAACCAAACCATGCACCTTAGCTTTGTGTGAGGATATTAAATACCATATTAAATAAAAGTACTTTTTCCTTGGAAATGTACTATGTCTATATACTGTTTGTTTGTGGATGGATGTCAAGTGTTTATGAATGCCTTGCTATTGACAAAGTAAAAAAATAATTTAATTTGAGGTTAACAGTTGTACATTCATCCACACAAAGTGCCTCTTCCCCTGCAGCCAGTTTCCTCTTCTTTTGTTAATATTACCTTGCATGAGGAAGTACGGTATACGATCATGTTTCGGGAGTGTAAACGTGTACTGTTCTGCATGTGTAACCTCATTTTTTTATTTCCTCAAAGTATTAAATATGTCTATTTAGGTCACTTTCACGACCTGTGTTTGCTGTGAAATAGGTTTTGTGCACTGCACGGTGGAAAGAAACAATAAAACGTTGTGGTGATTCTGAAAGGAAGGCTGGTGTTTTCAAACCTAGTTTGTTTGAGCCCTCCAAATGCTCTCAGTTCAGACATAGGTGTAATTTTCAAGTGGAACATGTCTCCACCACTTTTTGCCAAAGTCGATTCTGTCCCCACCACTTTTTGAAAACCGATGAAAAAATATAACATGCAGAAGGCTTATAATGCAAAGTAAAAGCTTCTCCAACCCATCTTTATCATTTAATTCATTCATGTAACACAAAATACATTTGCGTACGTCAGACAGGCCTGATCTATTAACCTTGTCATGAACATATCAGAATTTATAAACAGTAAATGGCGTAATTATGTGTGCATTGCACATTCTGGACCGCACACACTCTACTGTGTGACAGCGATGAAGTAAACAGAATGCTTTATATTTACACATTTAGATCAAATATGCCACTCTCATAAATTACATGATGTAAGTATCCAGAAGTTAAATTATCATAAGTTAAAAGTCGCCCTAGTTTATAATAGACAGCTACTGTAGGCATTATATTATGACAGTAAGGCAGGTCTGGTTCCAGAATCAAATCACTAAGGGTGCTTCTGAAAATAGTGAGAGCTCTAACCTTAATGCTAATATATTTTGACATATATTTTGTCAAAATACATCCATTGCTATTGCGCAAAGAGCGCTCCCTTTATAATTACCTCTGTACACTACACAATGAATCTCTTATTTACATTGTATTTAGACTTT